ATCCCAGCACTCGGGAGGCAGAGCCAGGCGGATCTCTGTGAGTTCGAGGCCAACCTGGGCTACCAAGTGAGTCCCAGGAAAGGCGCAAAGCTACACAGAGAAACCCTGTCTCGAAAAACCAAAAAAAAAAAAAAAAAAAAGTTGAAAATGTACCAAAGCGTCAGTGATGACTGGCAGAGAAAACAAAACACACAGACAATTCACCACAGGCACGTGAGGAAACTTCTGTTCTGGATCCAATATCTGTGAAAGGTCAGCTGTAAGTGGTTTAGGCCCACAGGCCATATGGTCTCTGTTGGAGAATCTATCCCACTTTGCTGGGTATGACTGTGTTTTAATAAAACTTTATTTATAAAAACAGGAGCAGGAGCTGGCCAGCCTGTGCCCTAGGAGGCAGAAAGAAAAAGCCTTTTTCTGTGCCTCTCCAGAGAAAGGCAGTAGACTTTAGGTTTACCAGCCATGTTTTTACAAGAAGACTTTTTGATTTAAAGAGTTCACTCTGCCGAGGGAATTGTGGGGGATGCTCTCAGAGGGAGAGCCTGTGGTGACTGGGTGGGAAACATGACAGAAGACCCCTCCCAACTCAGACATTTCTAAGACATCCATACGTTATCTGCAAGTCACGTCTATGAATATTCCTCATCCACTCGGATGGCGGCTACTGTGGTCACATCCTCCCTCCGCCTTGCCTCTGCTGCTTCAGGCTGCCAGGAAGGGCTGTTTGGTCGGAGATGCGGGGCATGGAAGTCAGTGTCCCAGGGGTGAGGGTGGAAACTGGGTCCCTTGTTGTAGTGGCAGGAACTTAGTCATGCCCTTGGCATCCAGGTGGGGAGGTTCTTGCCCAAGGCTTTACTTGTGGTTTCTGTGTGACATTCCACCTTTGGCCATGGCTCGGAGTCTTATCAAAATGCCAACTTTAATGGGAGTCTTCTTCTGGAGAGCTCTTTTCTCTCTTGGGAAGTCTTTCTAAACATCAGCCACTCAGGGCCATTCGGTATCACTATGACGCTAGTGTGGATCGGTCGGTAGTAACATTTGTCCAAGAGCAGGGAGCTTGGCTTTGCCTTGCTTTTAGTTTGGATGAGCTCCTGTGTTTGGCTTTTTTCTAAATGAGAACACTTTTTACTAAAATTACATTTTCCTTAGGGATGGATGCCACTGGAAACTGAGAAATGGGTTTTTTATAAAAACAAAACAGAACAGGTCAGGGGAGCCACACAAATCTGCAGCTGGGACTGGAGGCCAATCCACATTACACGGACACTGAGAAGCTAAAGGTGCCTCTTCCACTAACTTGGTATGTGGGCAGCCGAGGAGCCGGTCCAACTGCTGGCGAGTCCCCACTTTAGAAATGCGTCTCGTTAGGGCTTTGGTGAGTCTGCAGTAAGGTGCTTAGTGAGGACCAAGAGCCATCCACCTGAGGGCAGGTGCCATGTGACATGTATGTGAAGCAGAACAGACACCAAGCCAAATAGGACCCGTCCTCAGCACTTTTGTTTGTTTGTGGACCTCCATTTTTGTCCCTTAGCTCAGCTCATCTTCAAAATTAATTTCCCCAGACAGGTAAAATAAACTGTGGACCTTAGTGTTGATGGCAAGGCACACCTCTGTGGTAAAAACAGTGCACTGCTTATACGGCTTAGGCCGTGGGACTGACATGCGTTTAGGGTCCGGAATAATTCAAAAGGTGAGGAGGTGGTTGGGTTCAAATCTCCTCTCTGCTTTTTGTGTGTGTGGTTTTGGGGCCACTGATTGAACTGCTGAGTTTCTTCATCGTTAACATGGAGCACAGGGCCTCCCAGAGAGGTCTCATGTCAGCATCTGCTAGCTACCCTGGCTGCCGAGCAAGCCCACGGAGCCTTTTCACGGGTCCAACCGCCTCTAAGGGGGTACTGTGGCCTTGGATGGTTGAGCCATGTATGGATCACACAGCTCATGTCTATGATTCTTACAGACTGAAGATCAAGAGTCTGTTTCGTAGATTGCTTAAAAAGAGGACAGCCACAGGACACTGCTGTCTCAATCCCCTTAATTCATGTCGTCAGTCTCTTTCTATTTGTGTCCAAAACTGGCTGTAGCTTCAAGGGGCACTTGATTTCTCAAGTCTGTCTGTCTGTCTCTCTCTCTCTCATATAATTTGGCCTAGTCCTGGTTCCTAGTCAAAGAAGTGTTTTTGTTTGGTAATAGAAGAAAGGGCCAGGCTACAGTTTCTGTCAGGGCTGGATCTCAGAACTGAGCGCTGCCACACGGCACACTCCTGTGTGGTTGCACACTCCTGTGTGGTTGCACACTCCTGTGTGGTTGCTTGAAGCCAGCCACAGATCACAGACGCTAGCCAGGACTGAGACTGACAGGTGAGGGGAGACCTCGTGTTGGAATGCTTTTATTTGAAAACCTAGTCTATGAGCCTTCAATTTCCAACGTGAAAAGCAGTATTTTACTCACATGCACGTATGTGTGAGGCCTCCGTAACTAAGCGGGGAGCGAAAGTGTGTGCATAACTGTCACTAACACAAGAAATACCCGAGCGTGTCAGAGTCCTGAGGTGACAAGTTTACAGAGCGGCTTCTGTGCAGGCTGCACAGAGAGCCTTGTTCACGGACATCTTGCCTGAGAGTTTTGAAAGCAGGTGACAGCAAAAATCCCACCGCTTCTCCTTGTGGTAAACAACGCGTCTCAGTAGTTTTTGACGTTCTCTTTTGTGAGGGACCCACGCAGACCAGTCACCTAAGGACCCTCGTTTTACACTCACAAGAATGGTTGTATTTGGTTTAATAAGAACCATGTGTTATAATCAAAACAACATCTGACCCCCATGCTTCAAATAGTAAGTGTACACTTCTCAAGGGGTCTACTTACACAGACAGCTGTTGGGAGGTCTGGTCCCACATTTTAAGCTTGTCTGGGGCCTGGATAACTCACTCATGTTTGAAAATTTCTCTGGATATTGTTTTTCGCTCTTCTACCTCCTTAGCAGAAATTCTTGGTTCCCAGCTCCAACCCCAAACTGCTTTTAAGGTGAAGTCAAGCCAAATTGATTGAGAGTCTTTGAGGGGTGTTGCTTTGGAGTGGAAACCTGGGGGGTCGGTTTTGAAGGGTTAGGGCACTCCAGGGTGAGTTAAAATGCGTTAGGTGTAATTATTGCTCTGTGCAAACCAGAATAAAGTGTATTACTCTCTTTGCTTCAAAATAAGCCCAGATTTGAGTGACTACACATGGAGATGCTGCATGGAAAAAGTCCTCAGTGATTTAATCCTGAATTTCCGGGAAAGAACGGATTCAGTGAGATTGAGCGCAGAGCAGCACAGGTTGGTGGAGCCCTGGTTTTGGAGTCAGCTGCTCCTAAGGACACTCCTGCGGTCAAAAGCCATCTGTGAGACTCACCCAGGCGCTATGAGCACATGGCAGGCTTAACTTCCTTACGTAGAACCCAGACAAGCTCTACATGAATGAGATAATGCAATGTGCAGAGTTCCTATCTGATAGTCATCAATGGAGAGCAAATTGGGTTTTCCTTCCCCACAATGCTCAGGACCAGGAGTGTTTGCCACATTGGAGTTGGGTTGTGTTTGATTTTGGAATGCCCTCATAGTCTTTATTGCTTAATCAGAAACTATGAAATGCATACTTAGCTGAAATCCAAAACTTCTGACCATCATAAACCCACTCAAACAATTTAGATTGTGTAAGTATTGGTTCACATCTGTCATCTCAGCCCTTGGGAAAGAGAGGCAGGAGGATCAGGAGTTCAAGGCCAGCCTTGACTACACAGCAAGTTCAAGACCAGATGCATGAACCTCTGTCTCTAAAAACTTAAACAAACAAACAAACCCAAAAACCAAAACCAACCAACCAACCAACCAACCAACCAACCAACCAACCAACCAACAAAGGACTCTGGACTACCATTGATTTCAGACACAGTATGGATGCTAAATCTTTCGTTCCTGCCTCCATCTTCCTCTCTTCCCTCCCTGTCCTCCATCTTCCTCTCTTCCCTCCTTCTCCCCCATCTTTCCCTTCTGTCCTTTCTGTACTGCATCCAGCTGAATCCTGGGTCCAGAACACTAAGTGCTCAACCCCGAGGTCCACCCCAGCTTCTCCACTTCATTTCAAACTGCAATCTCCACTCTTGGGCAAACAAAGAGAACAGTTTGCAGGATGCCTGGTGAGAGGCAGGGATCGTAGCAATGGTTAAAGTGGAAACAAATTCTTGTGACTGGGACATGCCTCGGGGAGAGCGGTGAAGGACGAGCCAGGTGCCTCGGCCTGGAGTCGCATTGTCCCCAACTCCTGCACTCCTACCACCAAAGGAACCTGCCATAAATCCGAGGCATCTCTGACATGTACTTTAAAGAAAATGTGACTAGAGCCAACTGGAAGCTGCTTGGCGTGGGCCCATCAGCTCTGTCCTGAATTTCTTAATCCACCCATTGCTGTGGAGTATGGGATCACACGTGGGTTGACAGTTACAGCTGGCAGACTTCTGAAAGGGCATGCCAAAGAACTGACATATTTATTTCTTTATCCCAACCTTTTGATTAAAAACAAAACAAAACAAAAAACCACTAAAACAAGCCAAAACAATGAAATTGCCAAATCCACCTTTCAGTACGGTCTTATAACAGACAGGTAGTGGGAATAAGATGTGAGATTTGGAAAGGAAACAGACGGTAGGGTGGGCACGTGAGAATTTTGCCTTGGTTCGATTTTTCTTTTTACAGGTGTGTGTGTGTGTGTGTGTGTGTGTGTGTGTGTGTGTGTGTGTGTGTGCGCGCGCGCGCGCGCGCGCGCGTCCGTGGAGGCCAGAAGAGAGCATGAGATCCCCTGGACCCGGTGTTGCTGACAGTCACAGGGGTGCTGGGAACCAAACTCCCATATTCTGGAAGAGCAGCAAGTGCCCTTAACCACTGAACCGGCTCTCCAGCCGCAAGCTCCTCCAGCCAGCAAGAGCAGACCGCTCTGCTGGGGCAGTGATGGTCTCCGGCAGGGGCACTCACCTTCTTCCTTTGGAGGTTCACATCAAGTCTCATCGAGGCGCACTTGTTCAACGCATTAAGTCGTCTGAAAAAAAGGAGAATTGGATGATTTACTAATGCGCGCACACTTCCTCCCGGTCTGCTACCTTTCTCTGCTTTTGGTCAACCTGAAAGGGTAGAATCAATCAGGTATGTGGCGAGGCATGGCAGCATTTCCAGAAAGTGAGCTACAAAATGATTGTGTTCTCTAGCTTCCTGATCGGAGACTCTTCCACTCCCCAACCCTTTCCTGGTCTAAACCCGGCCCTTCTGGCTCCTCCTCCCTTTCTTAGAAACCATTGAGATAGCATTAACTATACTTCCACCAGCCCGTCCTCACTGGCCACTGTCCACTTCGGTCAAGCCCGTCCTGGTATGGACCCCCTCAGGCACGTTTTTATTCTTGTTTTCCTTCCTGCTCTGCAGCAGTGAGGATACTGGAAAACACCTCACAACACCACAGTGACGAGTTATTCCCGCTGTGTCTTCCCACAAACTTGTTTGCTGAAGGCATAGCCCTGGTATAACTGAATGTGGAGTACGGATGTCACTAAGGCCAAATGAGGCCATGAGGGAGAAACCCCGATCCCCTGGGATTAGCGTCCATGTAAGAAACGACACCAGGGTATGCATGCTTGTTCTCTCCTACTTCAGCACATGGAGAGACAGAGACCGAGGCTTTCTCCAGGAGGGAGATCACCAACAACCGAATTCTTGACCTTGAAGTTTCTAGCTTCTTGAACTGTGAAAAGTAAAACCCACTGTTAAGCTGCCCGGCCGCTGGCATTCTGCAGTGGCAGCGCATGCCAACTAATAAATACATTTTGTTTTCACCCTCAGCTGGACTCTCAAAATTGCTACCCAGCAGAATTCCTTCTAGTCCCCGCCCCGCCCTCGCCCCGCCCCGCCTCCTCCCCTTCCCCCGCCCCGCCTCCTCTCCTTCCCCCGCCCCCGCCCCCTGTGGCTCTCCAACCCAGACCACCAAAGATTCAGTTCTCCATCTGATGATGATTTCCCCACTGCTGCCAACTGAGAGGGAAAAACAAAACAGCTGGCAGTCATGCCTTCCTGTAATATTCCTTTCCTTTGTGGTAAACAGCATCTCCGCCTCGTTTGTTTACCTTTGCTGCCTGGCTGCTTCCCTGAAAGACGGTCCTTTTGTTTTTCAAAGCTAACTCTTCAGTCTCAACTGCTTTCTTCTTGAGCCCATTCTAATTCTAATTAATCAAGGAAGCTACCGTCACCCTCCAATCCTGCTTCTCACCATCGCTTACAGCATCCCAGCATCTCCTTCCTAACTGCTGAGAACAGCCCCGAGTTTCATTCATTGTTTTTTTTTTTTGGTTTTTCAAGACAGGGTTTCTCTGTATAGTTTTGGAGTCTATCATGGATCTCGCTCTGTAGACCAGGCTGGCCTCGAACTCACAGAGATCCGCCTGCCTCTGCCTCCCAAGTGCTGGGATTAAAGGCGTGCGCCACCACCGCCCGGCTTCGTTCATTCTTTTTTTTTTTTTTAAAGATTTTATTTATTTATTATGTATATAGTGTTCTGCCTGCATATATGCAGGCCAGAAAAGGACACCAGATCTCATTATAAGTGGTTGTGAGCCACCATGTAGTTGCTGGGAATTGAACTCAGGACCTCTGGAAGACCAGTCAATACTCTTAACCTCTGAGCCATCTCTCCAGCCCCGGCTTCGTTCATTCTTAAGTCTTACTTTGGTGAAGTCTCTTGGCCAACACCTTCATTATTGTGTGTTGATTTTTTTTTAAACGTTCGCATGTGGCTCAAGAGTCACTGGTCGCCACTCTTCTTGCAACGCTTTCATTTATCTCTAAAACCATTTTTACACCGTCACTTCACAACCTTCCAGTTTGGCTAATTCTGTATTGAATTTGTTCTTTAGAAGCAGAAGATTCATTTTCTTTCCGTCTCTATCCCCATCCCCCATCCATTGCCCGATCTGCATAGAGCTGTGTTACGGTATCACACATTTTAGATAAATCCATACTTGATATTTATTACAGCCATAAAGTTCTATTCCCACATGTATCATACTTGAATAATTTTCCTTTCATTTTCAACTTTTCAGTGTCCCTAGAGTTAATGTGCATAGAGTTTGTTTACTTAATATTCTTGTGTTTATTCCAAATATTTCCAATTATCTAAAGCCTGTCAGACGGTCTGTGAACTTAATTCCCTTGGACAGATGTCTCTCAGTTTCGGTTATTTCTTACAGTTGAGACCCCTCTGAAGTACGTTATCTATTGTTCTAGAGCCCAGCAGTACAAAAGGCCTAGGACACTATTCAGAATGTGGGCCGACTGTCATGTGGGCCCTGTTCCAACAGAGAACCCACTTTAGCTGTGCCAGTACCCTGGCTTCTCTGGGGATCAACTTGTATTTTGCTGATGGGAGGGAGATAATTACCCAGGAAAACCCCAGGGGTACAGGTCAAACTTCCCCCACTTTTCCATCTAAGTTCAAGGAACTTGCCTCCTTTTAAGCCTCCCACACCTTGTTGCCAATTCTTGAATATCACAGAGTCTGTACTGTAGATGGAGTTCCATTAGGAATGTCTCCACTGATCAGTTAGATTTCGTTTCCTGAGCACACTGAATCTTCTATGTAGATTTAGTCTCCTGCTTTGGAAATAAATGTTCTAGGTCTCTGGGTGGACATTTGATGTTGTGAAGGAAGAGATGACTCTGAAAGTTGGTGGGGTGTTTTCGAAGCAAGTAAATTCAGTGATTAGCTCTTCTGTTGCTGTTGTTTTTGTTTTTTCGAAAGACAGGGTTTCTCTGTGTTGCCCTGGCTGTCCTAGAACTTACTTTGTAGACCAGGCTGGTCTCAAACTTAGAGATCCTCCTGCCTCTGCCTCCCAAGTGCTGGGATTAAAGGCGTGTACCACCATTGGCTGACAGTAATCTCATTTTTGATCAATAACATTTCCTCTGGCTGCTATAAGCAGCCAAGAGAGGTAAAGAATATTTCTTCACACTGGAAGTGTCTCCTCTGCTCCTTATTGCTGAACCTACCAATCACAGCATCAACTCCCAGAAGCATTTGCCTTGACTTTCATCATCCAGACGTTAGTTTTGCTTATCCTTGGCTATCATAGTAATGGAATTACATAGTATGCATTTAAAAATATTTTATATATATGAGTGTCTACATGTGTGTATGTGCACCACATTCATGCAGTACCTGCAGAGGCCTGAAGAGGGCATTATATTCCCTAGAACTGGAGTCACTACAGTTATGAACCACCACATGGGTGCTAGAGACCAAACATGGGTCCTCTGAAGAGTAACAGGTGTGCTTAACTTCTGAGCCATCTCTCCTGACCAAGCATGCATTTTTTAGTGCACGGCTTTTTGTTGTTGCTGTTCAGCATGATGTTTTTAAGACTGATATGTTGGTAAGTACAGCACTAATAATCAGACTTACTTGCCGAGTAGTTTTTCATATCATGATATATAACTGGTTTATCTATTCTCTTGCTGGTGGACATTTAGGTTGTGTCTTAGTTAGGGTTTCTATTGTTGTGAAGAGACACCATGACCACAGCAACTCTTATAAAGGAAAACATTTAATGGAGTGGCTTATGGGTTTAATCCATTGTCATTACAGTGGGACATGGGGACATGAAGGCAGACATGGTGCTGGAAAAGGAGGCACATCTTGGTCGCACAGGCAACAGGAAGTGGTCTGAGTGTCATACCGAGTGAAACTTGAGCATATGAGACATCAAAACCCACCCACAGTGACATACCTTCTCTAACAAGGCCACACCTACTCCAACAAAGCCACACATCCTAATAATGCCACTCCCTATGAGCTTATTGGGGCCAGTTACTTTCAAACTACCACAGGTTGTTTCTAGTTATTTTATTTTTTGATTTTTACTGATGCCTTCCTAATTGCCAAATTATGTAGTTTCTTTTAAGTGAAGCCCTATTCCTAGCAATGGACAACAATTACAGCTCAACATTATCTTTGGCATTTAAGACTATGAATCCTCTTATCACTTCCTATCACACACAGCACAGACCCCTTGCGCAGTCTCTACAGAGCATATATCACAATGCGTCTTTAGGATTCAAACCAGAGGAATCTTGTTTTACTGTGCATGAGCATACAAAAGCACCTCATATCATCTCAGAGCATACCAGACTTTGATGACTTGCGATCTCCTTTCCATCTCATCTCCCCCGAGCCCCAGAGCTACATTTCAAACCACCCACTGCTCTTGCCAGTTTGTGGGGTCCTTCAGGCTTTTCAGGCTCCAAGGCTAAAACTGAACTCCCTACATTTCCAAAACCCATCTCTCCCATTTACTGTCTCGTCTTGACTGAGCACCAACAGGAATCCACACCAGAGAAGAGTCAGCCTGAGACTAACCCTCAGGCTCAGTAGGCGTTGCACACTAAATCTGGTCAAGTAAGTGTGACTGTGATATTCTTCAAGTCTTGCCTCTCCTTTGGTCCTAATTTGATCTCTTCTTGTCCCACATTGAGTCAGGCAATACCTGCCTTTACTCCAATGCCCTGCACTGGAACTTCTTCCGCTCTCAGCGTATCCCAGCACGTGTTCAGTTATACACGGAAGACGATTCTCTTCATTTCAGTCACTGACAGTTTACCCACTGACTGTGCGTTCATGATGGTGTCAAACAAAACACTCGTTGGTTCCGGATCAGGATGTCCACAGCCGAGACGCTGCTTTCTTGGATTTGTGGCTACAACTGGCAGATTGTCTTCCTGGCCAGTTCCACCTCAGAGTGGTGTGTTAATTAAAAGGCATCCCTGTTGTCCTTTGGCAACTCTTCCATGGGTTTGTTTAGGGAAGGACTGCATGCTGTTTATACAATATACTTATCTAGTATACTTGTTCCTCCCTTGTGGCTGGAGGCACAAACAAATCACTGGACGTTGTGAAAAAGATTTTGGTTTACTACAGGCACAGAAACATCAAAGGTCTAATCCTTCTTATACTACACATTTAAATATACTTTATATTCATGATATATGGAGATGTTTTAT